TTATAGCATTCCACAGTGCCATCGGAGTGGAGTTTGATCTTGTATGCCCATTTGCACCCAACCGGCTTCTTCCCAGGAGGTAATGGTTGTAGAGACCATGTGTCATTAGCTTTGAAGGCTGCAAGTTCTTGTTGCATAGCGAGACGCCATTTAGGATCACAAACTACTTGTGTAAAGGAGGATGGATCTTTTTCGACTGAAAGAGAAATGGTGAAGGCATAGTGTTTGGGAGATAATCTATCATATGAAAGAATATTAGATAAGGAGTAGGCGATACCTGTAGCTTCAACCAAGGCCGAGTTAAATGCTGGGACATTTCGTGAAGGAAAAGAAATACCAACATGATACTCACGGAGATAACCAGGTGTTGTTGTAGTACGTGTCGGCCGTAATGGAGGAATTTGTGGATCCGCGGGCAAGATTGGAGTAGGTTGATCAATGGATGAAGAAGCTGCAAGCGAAGGAATGGCTTGGGAAGAAGTTTCGTTATTAGAATGGGGAGGAAGTTCTTCTTGAGGGAGATGGTCGGGTGGAGACACTTCACTGTTGGAAGGAAAGTGTGGAGTGGAGTTGTCATCATCATATGTTGATGAATGATGAGGCATTGGAGGTGAGTTTACAACGGAAGATGGTAAAGGAAAAATATCTTCATGAAAAATGACATCACGTGAAATAAAAATTATACCAGTTGAGAGATCATAAACCCTGTATCCTTTTTGAGCATATGGATAACCTAAGAAAAGACACCGGGTGGCTCTTGCATCAAATTTGGTGGGGCGATGGTGATATGTTGAGGCAAAGCACAGGCAGCCAAACACTCGCAAATGATCATATGCATGCTGCTTGTGAAAAAGCATTTTGAAAGGTATTTTCCCATGAAGGAAAGGTGTGGGAGTTCGATTGATAAGGTAGGTAGCAATCGAGATAGCGTCTCCCCAAAATTTCTTAGGGAGGTTGGCTTGGAATAATAAGGCTCGAGCTACATTGAGGAGGTGACGGTGTTTTCTCTCGACTACTCCATTTTGTTGTGGAGTGGAGACACAACTTGTTTGATGAATGATACCTTTGTCGAAAAAAAATAAAAAAAAATAAATCATTATAAATTCAGGTCCATTTTCACTTCGAATAATTTCTACTTTCAAAGAAAATTGTGTTTCAACAAAATTAATGAATGTAGTGAGATATGCAGGAGTAACTGATTTATGATGCATCAAATAAACCCATGCGCAACTAAGTATAATCATCAACAATGGTGAGAAAATATCGTGCCCCAGTAATGGAAGGAACATGGTACCCTCCCCAGATATCAACATGAATTAATTCAAAAGGTGTTTTAGTGCGAATAGAACTTAATGTAAATGGAGAATGAGTTTGTTTAGCTAATGGGCAAATTAAACAATTAGAACTATTACAAAATTTGATGTTTGTAGTTGAATGAGAAAGCAAACGGAAGGTCTTATTTGATATATGACAAAGGCGTTGATGCCGAAGTCTCGGGGAACAAGAGGCTGGTGTGGTTCTCTGTGGAGTATCAAGGTAATAGAGTCCTCCTCGCTCAGTTCCCGTTCCATTCATCTTCCTCGATCATTGCTCCTGTATCATACAAGAATTATTGGTGAATGTGGCAAAGTAGTGGGAATTGTGAACAAGCTTGCTAATGGAAATCAAGTTTAATTTAAAGGAAGGGACACATAGCACATCATGCAAGACGAAATCATCAAAATGAATTCTGCCTGTGTGTGTGACAGCAGCAATGGCTCCAATGGGTAGATGCACAGTTCGGTTGGTGACACGAGATTTTGTGGTTACAAAATCAGCGGAGTAAACCATGTAATATATGGCTCCTGTGTCAAGTATCCAGCACATTTCTTTATCAATAACGGAAGCACAGAAGATTGTGCCTAAAAGATCACTCACAGCGGATGCACTACCGACATGAATGGCATTGGACTTATTCCCGGTAAGTAGTGTCATGAGATTCTGGTATAGTTCTGCTGTGAGGGTGAATAGTGTATTGGCATCTGCATGATTGGCTTTGGGAAAAAATTATTGTGCTCTTGTTGATCAGATTTGTTGCCTGTAGAATTGTCTTGTGGAACTTTCGACAGACATCAATGGTGTGACGTTGCCAGCCGCAATAATCACATCTGAGGTGTGCTCGGCATGTCTCTGAAGTGTGCCCAATTTTGTAACAAGTTCTTTTGTAACAAGTTCCACATTTCAGGTGAGGATTTTTGGGTGTGAAAGTCCTCGCAGAGTTTCATGAGTTGCTCTTCATAGCAAAAGCTGAAGCTTCTGCCAGTGGTGTGCCTCCCTTCGATATTCCTCGATGCTTTTCATCCTGGAGGATGAGGGAATAAATGACCCAGGCTTCTGGAAGACCCTTATAAAATTAATTGTATCAGTTTCCAAAAATATATGCTACATATTTAAATTTCTATATAACCCACATTTTTTTTGTTAACTATATATATATATATATATATATATATAATTAAACTCTAATTTATATTCATACTAGCGTTATTGTGAATGGTACATCTTCCTCTAATAAATAAATAAATAACACCTTCCTCAAATAAATAATAATAAATTTAAATTATATTAGTGTATATCTTCCTCTAATAAATAAATAAATAATAAAAAATTTATATTATATTCTTGTATTGTACATCTTCCTCTAATAAATAAATAAATATTTTGATTATAAAAATAAATAAAAAAAACTATAGCCATCTTCACACACACATACAGAAAACCTTAATAATTCAAAAAAAATTGTGATGGAATTATTAGACCCATTGACCGTGGTGTTAAGTTTACCTCTAAATAAATAAATAATTTATATTCATATTAATATTATTGTGAATAGTACATCTTCCTCTAATAAATAAATAAATAACACCTTCCTCTAATAAATAATAATAAATTTAAATTATATTCGTGTATGTCTTCTTCTAATAAATAAATAAAACATAAAAAAATTAAGATTAATTTCATCGACACTCTCTTATGTTTGGCTAAATATCACCTGAAAACATCTCTCTAAAAATACAATTACTCACACCTCAAATCACTAATCCGTTGCTAACACCGTCAAAATGGGTGTAGAATGACATTTTTACCCTCATTTTTTTAATGCCTTCCAATTTAAAACCTCGTAATTGTATATGAAGGAAATTACCCCATCACCATCAGGACACACACACATTCTCTCTTCCAGCGCCGGCAACGTCACTGCACACTCCCTCTTCCAGCGCCGGCTACGCCTCACTACCACAAAGTCAAGAAAAGCATTGGAGTCTCTATACAATTTCTGATCTTAGCCCATATAACATTTTCTTCAAATCCCCTGCAATCAATCACAAACCCATCAAACACCTTATTATCATACTCAATTTCCAAAAATAAAATATAAAATAAAATTCAATTATTGGCAATGAGGGGAAAAAAAAGATTTGATTTTGAGTTACCAAATGTGGCTTGAGAGCTGATATTGATTTCATGGTAGATTAGCCCAGATAACATTTTCTTCAAATCCCTGCAATCAATCACAAACCCATCAAACACCTTCTTATCATACTCAATTTCCAAAAATAAAATTCAGTTATTGGCAATGAAGGGGAAAAAAATTTTGATTTTGAGTTACCAAATATGGCTTGAGAGCTGATATTGATTTCACGGTAGATGGACCCATACTTAGACCCAAACTCAAATGGTGGGTGGTGGAACGCGGTTTTGATCTGAATCCGGGTTTTGCTTCTGAACTCAGCTCCCATTCACTCTCGCCGCCGACACCGTCGCGTGAATTCACCGGTGACAGTCCCGTCATTCTAGTCTTCATTCGCATTAACTTGCTCTTTGATTTCGAGAGATGTACAGAGGGTTTTGAACCAAAGTGTTTCGATTTCAATTACAGAGACTCAGATCAAAATTTTCTTCTCTCTACAATTTTTAGTCGAATACACAAAACCTATCTCAGAGAAAGCCGGTTAGACCCAATTGTGACCGCCAGTTAGACCCATGCGTGTAGAGAGAGAAAAGTTAGAGAGAGAAACACTCTCCCTCGAATAATCGATAGATTTATGGAAATAAGAAATCAAATCCAAAAATGTTGAAATCTTAATCGGCAAGAAGAGATCGGTCTATTTCTCTCTTCCTTCTATTCTTTGTTTATTGGTGGTGGCGGCGGCGGTTATGGATGGGGATGGTATTGGCGCCGCCATGGTGGTGCTGAGTTGCAGGTGGTGGTGTAAGAGGTGGTTCGTCCAGAGTAACGATATTACCTCAAATATATATATATATATATATATATATATATGTATGAGTATGTATGTATGTGTGTGTATATATATAAATAATTGTAAATTTGTAAAATATTCAGAGGTAATTTAATCTTTTAATATATTTTTTTAGATTAAATCAAAACATTTAAGTCAGTTTTATTTGTTGTTAGAGATGTTAAGTTGGCGATTTATAACATGAGTGGTAGTGATTTTTAAAAGTTATTTCAAAGTAACATTTAGTCAAATCTAAAGTGGTGTTAGTAAAATTAACTCAAAAATTTTAATTATATTCTTGTATTGTACATCTTCCTCTAATAAATAAATAAATATTTTGATTAAAAAAAAAAACTATAACGACCTTCACACACACATACTGAAAACCTTAATAATTCTAAACTTTTTTTTTATAAATAAATATTGAGGTAGAACTTAAAACTCACACACATAAATGGGTTATGGATAATGGGTTAGTGACCCACTATTAAGATTAGCTCAAAACCCGTGCAAACCCACCAAATTGCGGACATATAAAACTCTTTATTTTGAGCACAATACATTTGAGTGAATTAGTTTGCCACTTGCGATGCGATGATGATAGTAAACTGATGTTGCCATCTAACAAGCTAATAGCTCGCTATAGAATAAAATTGGCTATATGACTACTGATTTCACCGTTCTTAAAATAGCACAATAAACCTAGTTTCAGTGACCATCTTATCCTCAAATACGATTTGACTTTTATAATTTACACTCCAACTGCACATTACCTGGCAAGAAGAAAAACTCACGCACACCTTGTCCCAGACTTGAACCCCCTCAACCTTCTACCGTAGAAGGTGAAGAAGATATCAAGTGAGTTTGACTGACAACACAAACAGTGATTCTAGAAACATCCACTTTATACCAAGTAATGTTAAAAAATTACATTTATACCAAGTTTTCCTGTCACCACACACTTGATCAACAGAAACAACATTGGCCTTTATTTTACTTTAACTGCACTATAAGGATTTGGTCATGCAGCAGCTGTTTCAGCAATTGGTTTTTGCTTCAAGAGTCTTCTCATATTCCTCAATGGATTTGAACAGCTCCGAGAAGTTGCCCTTTCCAAACCCACCACAACCACCCCTTTGATATATCTTGCCCTCCTCATCCTTCAGCATACACCCTACTCTCTGAATTATCTCTATAAATATGGTTGGCCTGCCCAAAAGTTATACAAGTGTGAATACAATTAGTCAAACCACCATAGACCCAGACCCAGACCCATCCTTCAACATGTATAGTTATGAACTTACGATAGAATCATAGAATAAATAATTTGCAACAAGACAATATAGGTTTAAAAGGCTGCAATAGATTATTAAAATCTAAACAATAAGGAATTAAGAGGGCACCTGAGTTCAACAAATTCGTACACCCCATTCTTTCTTAGAACAACCAATTGAACAAGCCACTTGCTCTCTCAGGTTGTCCAAGTCCATATTCCTAACAGGGCATTGTTTGACTTGATAACATTAGCTACTTCTCTTCCAATATACTAAATTAAAGAATTTTTGCTGCAACTTCTTGATCCGGTTGGCTCACTAACCAGATCTCAAACAAGTACAAGTGAACAGAAATATTTGATAGAGGGCTGCCTGATCGAGAATATAAGGCTCCTCTAAAAGTATAATCTTGTTCCAGGACTAGTATTTCTGCACTTTCTACATATTATTTCCTCAAAGTCACTAAAAGCTTTATGATTACTGCCTAAGGAAGCCCTGCACACTTTCTGTAGGTCACCTGAACATACCCTAATCTAACTATAGGCCAGCATTCTCTACCTATCCTTCTCAAGATTGATAAAAAATTTGAAACCCTTTCTCGGATTTATTTTCAAATGAAAGAACTACAAAAAATTTCAAAATACGCTTGAGATTCAAAACCTTCACCAAATTTATTATCCACATTGTAAATGAGAAACACAAGTCATTCATCTACCCATAATTATACTGGGCTTGAGAATCTGCTTTAGGTACTATGCTACTCCAAATATAGACCAAAATGGAAAGCCATGGAATTGTACTGATTCTGTCCCAAGTTCAGAGCAGTAAAGACTAGTTTAAAACTTGATTCATCAAAACAATAAAAACCTAAAAAATATATATTCTAATCTTAAAATCTTTAGATGACCTTATGTGACAAATGTCTGAAGAAAATCAAGTAAACTATGCAAATAATGAGACAAAATTATAAAATATGAAAATAGACTATAAATTAACCACTCTCTACCAGCTGATTTTGTTGACATGCTTATGATTTGGTTGTCATGCTGCAAAAAGTACAAAGGGTAATGAACCCATAAGCTATCAATTTTGGAAACATGATTGGTTATATAATATGGATACATCAGCAAGAACACCAAAGAAACGGGATCAATTGCCAAAACAAATCGTAAAATTCCTTGGCAGAAAGAAAAACAATGACAAATTTCTGCTATCAAGACAACTCTTTCAAATCCCAAGTAATGCATCATTGTATATTACCAAAGCATTCTCTAATTATTGTGCATGCAAATGAATTAATAGGCTGAGTGTCTTTTAAACTTCTATTCAATCAAACAGCCACTAGCTCATCTCCACGTCTTCTCATGAACTCAGCAAATTCGTCCAACCCAGTGAATCCAAAACACTGACAAATTCCCGCTATCAAGGCAACTTTTTCAAATCCCAAGTAATGCGTCATTGTATATTACAAAAGCATTCTCTAATTATTGTGCATGCAAACGAATTAATGGGGGCTCAGTGTCTGTCTTCTAAACTTCTATTCAATCAAACAGCCACTAGCTCGTCTCCATGTCCTCTGTCATGAACTCAGCAAATTTGTCCAACCCAGTGAATCCCTTCACTTACTTTCAGAAATCCTTGCCAGAGTCCAGACAGTGCGATAGAGCCGTTGGATTCCAAAATCCAACAATATGGTGACATTTCGTCCGCAGGTTTGAATGCTGACAAGAAGCAAAGCGACGGCAGGCTAGGGGATTTGGGTTAGGGCTAAAACTTGTGTAGCTGATGTAGCAGAAAATGTGGCCAAAGGTGAACTTTGGTGACAACATGGTCATCAAGAAGGATTGGCAGCTAACTAGCACAAACAATGACACAAGATAGTAAGGTTGTACAACACCGTCACTTCAACACAACATTACATCCCAAAAAATATGGATACAATTTTGACACCGTAATATATAAATGTATATCTTATTATTTATATATTTATAGTGTAAGACAGATACAAAACTTCTGTTAATTTCTAACTTCTAAGAATAGCATAGTGTGAAAATGAAGACCAACAAATACCAAAAGATTATTACATTATGTATACCACCACTCTCTTATGTTTAAATGAATACATTTCATGCTTCATCAATGTTAGCCATGTATAAAATGTCAAATTTGTTACTAAAAAGAGAAAGGTTGGGCATTTCAAATTGTACCTATATTGTTTCTTGGCTGTGGGATATCTGTTGTCAGGGGCTTATTTGTTATTACTTATATAATGTTGGGGCTTATGTGTAAGTTCTTAAACTTGTTATTATACATAGAATTTGGTGGAAGGATGAAAGTATTCTTTCATTCTTTCTCTCTTTCCCCATCTCTCTCTCTCTTTTTCTCTCATCCGCTTTCTTCTCTTTTTCTTCTTCTTCTTTATCACTTATTCTTGATTTGATTATATCTTGAAGTCAACATAGTATCATAGCATGGTTTGAAAAGCTCTAGGTTTGTAGTTGAAACCCTAGGGCAAGTTTGTGTAAACCAAAGTGGGTGTGAAGGGTTTTGAAAAGATTCCAAGATGGGATCTATTTGCAAGGAAATAGTGTTAATCACATCCACGCATACTGCGGATCCCAACCCCGATCAATGTTTTTTTGCGTTCGTGGGGTTCTGCAACAGTCGCTTTCTCTTTGTCTTTCGCGATTCTGGTATGGTCTACTTTGTTGCTTTCTAGGGTTTGTGTGGTCACTTTTTTATGCATCTCAAAAGACTGTAATCTTTTTTGTTGAAGTTTGTGTGTTAGAGAGGTGGTTCTCTACGTATTTTGTTGTTGTTTTTGTTTCTGAGGATTGAACACCCAGAAACTGTTTGATAAAATGTCTGGCTCAGAGGTGACTTCAAAAGAAACTGGGTGTTCTCCTAGTCTGACTCCAGTATTGGGAGGTAGTAATGAACACCATCCAGGCGTTTGTATTACGACTGTTAGGTTGGATGAGACGAACTATATAGAGTGGGCTCAATCTGCTTGTATGCATATCACTAGTCGTAGGATGATTGACCATATCGAAGGGACTGTCACGTATCCCTCCAAGAGCGATTCTAAATTCAAATAGTGGAGTGCAAATAATGCACTAGTTATGATGTGGTTGTTGCAGTCAATGCAGCCACAGATCAGCAAAGGGTTTTTTGTTTGTGAAAACAGCTAAAGAGCTATATACGGCTGTCGAAAAAACGTATTCCTTGGTAATCTTGCAAAACTGTATGAACTCCAACAACAGATTTCAAGATTCAAGTAGGAAGACCAAACTCTTGCTACATATTACCTCTCTCTACGTGGTAAATGGGAAGAGTTAGATCACTACCGAGACTACATACCTGTGTGCAGCTGATGTTAAAGCATTTCATGCTATGTTAAAAAGGAATCAAATCTATGAGTTCTTGGGTGGTCTACATCCGAGATACAAGCATGCTCGGGTAAAAGTGTTAGGCAGGTATCCAGCCCCTACTTTTGTTAGAGATGTGTTTTCGTATATCCAGGCTAAGGAGAGTAGAATGAAGGCTATGTCTGCACCTGTATACACTAAGCCTGAGCCAGAAGTACCATTGTCTGAGAGGTCTGCTCTTGCCACACAACAATGGAACAAGCCCAATCCTCCAAAATGAGGGAAACATGATGACAAAAGCAAGTTGAGGTGTGATTACTGTGGGTGTATGCACCACACTAGGGAAACATGTTGGAATCTACACGGTCGTCCTACTCCAGCTCCTGCCAATGCTCCTGCTAGGCCTGGCCAATTTAGGGGATTATCTACGGCACATACTATAGAGCATGAGACTGCTTCTACTAGTCATGCCTCCTCAGGGCCACCGAGTTCTTTGTCCGAGGCTGAACTTAATGCTCTCCGACATCTACTAGCACAACATTCCTTCGTTTCCACCTCTAACTTCGCTCAGACATGTACCTCTCATTCAGCACATCAGGTTTCCACATTATCTAGTGGGACACCCTGGATCATTAATTCAGGAGCCACTGATCACATGACTGGTATGGCATCTAATTTTTCTTCGTACAGTTTATGTTCTAGTAAGGATAAGGTTAGAATGGTTGATGGCACCCTTACCTCCATTGCGGGGAAGGGCACTGTTTCTACTTCTCCTAATCTTACCTTATCCTTTGTTCTTCATGTCCCAAAGTTTACCAATAACCTCCTTTCTGTCAGTCACATTACAAAAGGCTTGAATTGTAGTGCAACCTTTTTTCAATCTCACTGTGTGTTTCAGGACTTGGACACGGGGAAGACGATTGGCAATGGACGTGAGGACAATGGCTTGTATTTATTGAATGCGAGGCCAACTTCTTATTATGGTGCAAATCAATCTAGTGTTAGGAATAATAATGTCAATAAAGATATGTTAATGCGATAGCATAATAGACTATGTCATTTACCTCTTCCTCTTTTTCTTTTTCTTTTTTTGATAAGTAAACGTGAATAGAAACGAAAAAAGCGTTCAAAAGGGGAACGCCCCATATACAAAAACAGAACTGAAACCTAAGGACCCAAAAAGTCCAAAAAATCTATGAAATCATCATTAGAAGAACAATAACTTCCCTTCACCCAACTTAAAATGGAGCGAAGAATACAAAGTGTTAAGAGTCGCCGTGGACGATTCCTTTCCTTCAAATAGTCTGTTGTTCTGCTCTCTCCAAGTGCACCACCACACACAATGCGGGATTATCAACCAAGAGTCTCGAGCAAGACCCCCCACATAGCATCCCTCCCTCCCACGCATTAATCAGGCCTCTTAAAGACCGTGACATTACCCAATAAATACCGAATAACCCAAAGATCATGTTCCAACAGTCAAACACCAGTGCATAAGGAGATGATCCACAAACTCACCATCATTTTTGCATAGGCAACACCAGTTAACAATAATATTGTCTCTCCA